CCTCTGAAGATGCCGGCCACAGAGACTGGCGAAACGTTAAGAAGAACAACCTTCAGAACACGGCCAAAGAGCCCGAAAAACCCACAACAACCATTAAACCCCTTAAGTATCTTACTTGAAAACCCAGTTACATTTGCTGTAAGTCAGAGGTGACTTTCTAGCACATAACACACATTAACACACTCTCATTTTTATTCTTATTTTATAATAATTTTACATCTGGGAGATATCTTTTGTCAATTTTTTATGTTTCAAAAACATGCAAAGCTTGTGGAGCCAGATACTGACAGTGTGTTAAAGACATAGCTGAATACTGTGGTTCTATAAAACATGTATTAATACTACAGTAGTAACTCTTCTGTTTAAAAAGAAAATGTCTGAAGATTCAGCTGCAGCTTCTGGATGCGCCTAGGAAATGAGTTTAAATAAAGGGACAACAACCTTTTCCACCGAGTCCCTTATGTAGTTTTCTACTCCGTCAGGCTCTGGTTCTTTGAGGCCATGATGGCTCCCCTTGCTAGAAAAGCCCCAGTAGACATGGCCATTGTTATAACCTCACATGGAACATCTAGTGAGCTAAAACTATTCCACCTGGAACTCCTTCGTGGGCAGCTTGGGAGCATGGAGGATGCAAAAGGTTCTCACTCCTTTGATGGTGGGATTTCTGTGTCTGATCTAATGTGTTTCCTTTTTAATTATTTCACAGCAAGTCAAGGCCATCGAACGGTTCCTGCGTCGTTTGGAGTTTCATGCTAGCAAGGTACGTACTTCTTTCAGTATTGGGCACACAAAGAGTGTTTCTCCACCAAGAAAGTTTTTTATGGCCTTTATAAACTATGCAAATAGAATAGATGTGCCTGATTTTTAAAACTTTTTATAGTTCAGTCACGGGGTAAGAAATTTCACAGGAAAAAAGGAGTTCTAGCCTGATAGCTAGGGATCCTCTTCAGGCATTGCAGGCACAACTTGAAGCTGTAACAACTGGAAAACTTGTTTCTGCACAATTTGGGAAGATATTAGACTCTGGAGGTACTGGCTTGTGCTAATTTTTCCTCTTGCACAGCACCTTGCTGAATAGATACCACCTTTTATTTTCTCTGTGCCTTGACTTTGTTGGGGGGAAATCCCACCTCATGGAAACACATATATATTTGTTTCTAATATACCCAAGTTCCAATATTGTGCCCCTCATCATTCTAGACAAGAGCCTCCTTAATTCTATTAAGGCTTCATTGGCATAGACATGGGAGAGTGCCTACACTCATTATCTGTATCCTGTTTTCTCAGGCCTCTTCCTTAACACACTTTCTAGTTTTGTAAAGGATGACCTAGGAAGCAGCTTCTGTACCAGATCAGGGTGTTTCTGCCTCGAGGGAAGGATGGCCTGCTCTGACCGGCAGGGGCTCTCCATGGTCTCTGGAACAGAAGGTCCCAGATGATCTGCTGTAATGGAAATAGCCAGGGATTTAGAACCTGGGTAAAGTGAGCTCCTGTCGCTTGTCCCAGCTTCTGCCAACCTAGCAGTTCGAAGGCATGCAAAATGTGAGTAGATAAATAGATCAAAGACCATGAGAGACACTGCATACTGAAACAACCGGGCAAATTTGCAGTAGCTGAACATGCCCTGAAATTATCTAGTCACACTGGCCACATGACAGAAAATTGTCTGCTGACAAATGCTAGCTCTGTGCGTTGGAAATGGAGATGAGCACCGCCGCCTAGAGTCAGACACGACTGGAAAAATTGTCAAGGGGAACCTTTACCTTTTTAAAGAGCACATGCACGAACCCTCTCCAAAGAGAAGGAAGAACAAAGAGAAAGATTTGCAGAACAAAGCATGGAGAGTAACTTTGCAGAACAAAGTAGTTTGTTATGTTTCATGGAACCTGTCCGGTACATTATGTGGACAATAGTAAGTTTAGTTTATTCTTGGGGTTGTTGTGGGGTTTTTGGGCTCTTTGGCCGTATTCTGAAGATTGTTCTTCCTAACGTTTCGCCAGTCTCTGTGGCCGGCATCTTCAGAGGACCGCACTCTATGCTCTCAGAGTGCTGTCTTCTGAAGATGCTGGCCACAGAGACTGGCGAAATGTTAGGAAGAACAACCTTCAGAACACGGCCAAAGAGCCCGAAAAACCCACAACAACCATTAGATCCCGGACGTGAAAGCCTTCGCGAATACATTAGTTAATTCTTGATTCTTTCCTTAAGTATCTTACTTGAAAACCCAGTTACATTTGCTGTAAGTCAGAGGTGACTTTCTAGCACATAACACACATTAACACACTCTCATTTTTATTCTTATTTTATAATAATTTTACATCTGGGAGATATCTTTTGTCAATTTTTTATGTTTCAAAAACATGCAAAGCTTGTGGAGCCAGATACTGACAGTGTGTTAAAGACATAGCTGAATACTGTGGTTCTATAAAACATGTATTAATACTACAGTAGTAACTCTTCTGTTTAAAAAGAAAATGTCTGAAGATTCAGCTGCAGCTTCTCGATGCGCCTAGGAAATGAGTTTAAATAAAGGGACAACAACCTTTTCCACCGAGTCCCTTATGTAGTTTTCTACTCCGTCAGGCTCTGGTTCTTTGAGGCCATGATGGCTCCCCTTGCTAGAAAAGCCCCAGTAGACATGGCCATTGTTATAACCTCACATGGAACATCTAGTGAGCTAAAACTATTCCACCTGGAACTCCTTCGTGGGCAGCTTGGGAGCATGGAGGATGCAAAAGGTTCTCACTCCTTTGATGGTGGGATTTCTGTGTCTGATCTAATGTGTTTCCTTTTTAATTATTTCACAGCAAGTCAAGGCCATCGAACGGTTCCTGCGTCGTTTGGAGTTTCATGCTAGCAAGGTACGTACTTCTTTCCGTATTGGGCACACAAAGAGTGTTTCTCCACCAAGAAAGTTTTTTATGGCCTTTATAAACTATGCAAATAGAATAGATGTGCCTGATTTTTAAAACTTTTTATAGTTCAGTCACGGGGTAAGAAATTTCACAGGAAAAAAGGAGTTCTAGCCTGATAGCTAGGGATCCTCTTCAGGCATTGCAGGCACAACTTGAAGCTGTAACAACTGGAAAACTTGTTTCTTTACAGTTGCACAATTTGGGAAGATATTAGACTCTGGAGGTACTGGCTTGTGCTAATTTTTCCTCTTGCACAGCACCTTGCTGAATAGATACCACCTTTTATTTTCTCTGTGCCTTGACTTTGTTGGGGGGAAACCCCACCCCATGGAAACACATATATATTTGTTTCTTATATACCCAAGTTCCAATATTGTGCCCCTCATCATTCTAGACAAGAGCCTCCTTAATTCTATTAAGGCTTCATTGGCATAGACATGGGAGAGTGCCTACACTCATTATCTGTATCCTGTTTTCTCAGGCCTCTTCCTTAACACACTTTCTAGTTTTGTAAAGGATGACCTAGGAAGCAGCTTCTGTACCAGATCAGGGTGTTTCTGCCTCGAGGGAAGGATGGCCTGCTCTGACCGGCAGGGGCTCTCCATGGTCTCTGGAACAGAAGGTCCCAGATGATCTGCTGTAATGGAAATAGCCAGGGATTTAGAACCTGGGTAAAGTGAGCTCCTGTCGCTTGTCCCAGCTTCTGCCAACCTAGCAGTTCGAAGGCATGCAAAATGTGAGTAGATAAATAGGTACCACCTTGGTGGGAAAGTAAACGGTGTTCCTTATCTAGTCACACTGGCCACATGACAGAAAATTGTCTGCTGACAAATGCTAGCTCTGTGCGTTGGAAACGGAGATGAGCACCGCCGCCTAGAGTCAGACACGACTGGAAAAATTGTCAAGGGGAACCTTTACCTTTTTAAAGAGCACATGCACGAACCCTCTCCAAAGAGAAGGAAGAACAAAGAGAAAGATTTGCAGAACAAAGCATGGAGAGTAACTTTGCAGAACAAAGTAGTTTGTTATGTTTCATGGAACCTGTCCGGTACATTATGTGGACAATAGTAAGTTTAGTTTATTCTTGGGGTTGTTGTGGGGTTTTTGGGCTCTTTGGCCGTATTCTGAAGATTGTTCTTCCTAACGTTTCGCCAGTCTCTGTGGCCGGCATCTCTCTCGGACACAGTCCTA